AGAAGCAGCTGCATCTCAGAGCAGGCATCCCAAAGGGAGTGTGAGGCCCACTCTTTCAGCCCCATCTCTGTGAGACCTTGCTTCCATCTTGGGGCACCTCCACTATTATCTCAAATTACCTCTGCTATTGCCACCACCAACCTTAGATGCAATAGCATACAGTGAGGGACACCAGCAGGGTCTGGGAGCACCACATCAAGGTGAGGTACAGACAATCTGCACGGGTACGACAAGGATATAGGGAAGAAAATGTAATATCTCAGATCCACACTGCAAGAAAGGAAGGCACCCAGGCAACATGAAGACCATTGCCAACTGCACCCGTTGCGACACCTTTGAGCCACTCGTTCGCCTTTCCAACCTCTCACCCTGGCACCCACACAGACCCTCACTCTCCTCCTGACCTAGCTCAGCGACCATAGTCCACGTCTGGAACCACTTCCTTGAAAATGCTCTGAGCTCTTTGCACTCCTCCACCCGCCAGCACCCATCACTCACCTCTGATCCAGGCCCGATCCTCACTCACTCACTCTTTGTCCATGCAGTGGTCTGCACCTCAGGAGTACGGGAGGAAAACACACCATTTTGCAGGCCGCCCTGCCTTTCAGCCCAGGGTGACAGATCTCAGACTGCATGGAAAACATTTCTACAAGCCTATCATCCTTTCTCCTTTCCAGGATGGCGGCTTCACATCTTCTCTCGTACGTTTACACACCAAATGCTCTAGTATCTCTATAATCTAGAACAAAGTCCCTCACACCGTGTCCCTCTCCCTGCTCACCTGGGATTTTCTCCTCAGTCACTGTGGTTGGGTTCCTGCCCCAAACTAACCAGGACTGTCCTTGCAGGGTGCCAGCAATGGGGCCAGCAGGCTTTCCTGCAGCGGAACACCTCCCTCTTCTTGAGTCACTTCCTTCTCTTGGCTGCCGCAACTCCACAACTCTCAAGTTTTCCTCCTAATTCACGGACTGCTTCTCCCCAGCCCTCTCCCTCTTGCTCTTCTGCTTGACTTGGGAAAGCCGAAAACTCCAAGAGTCCTTCCTTTCCATTTAACCCTCTCTTTTCTGGTTGTAAATATCTGATTACTCACCACACCCAGGTCCCTGCTTCCAGCACTTTCCTCTCCCTCACCCTTTGACTATTTGTGTATATATATGTCTGCTTGGCATCCCAATAGAATTTCAGTGCGAATGTCAAGGTTAATGTCATTGAAATGGTTTTATTGATTCCGGTCACCGCAGCATCCTGGTATTTTTCACTATGGTAGGTGGGATCCATTTGCTCAAGTCAAAACACTAGAAATCATCTGAGATTCTTTTTTGCACAAACCCCACACACAGTCTTTCAACAGCTTTGTGGTCCTTGCTCCAAAACCTATTCTAAGCCATGTGTCTGCTCACGCACACCTCTACAGGCCAGGCAAGACACCGCCTCTGCTCTCCTCTCCTCTCCTGCAGGCGAAGACCAGGTCTGCAGCTGCGTCTTCTGCGTCCACTCCAGTGCCTTGCAGTTCTTTCTTCTCCTCTGCAGAGAAGTCAGTTTAAGACAGAGGTAGAGAAGGCTACTGCCTGCTGAAAACCCACCACTGTCTGTCTTCTCTTCATCTTTGGAATAAAGTCCAAACTCCTGGATTGTGAAGATCAACCCAAAAGATCCTAAACTGGGCACCAGGCGTAGGGAAATCTGCCTTCGAGTTGGCAGGCGTGAGTCGGCAGAAACTGCTGGAGAGACACCAGCCTCTGCTTCCCATCCGAGCATCGGGGAACTGGCATCTTGGGCTGGTGGCTGGGTGGAGGAATAAGAGGTGGCTCAGCAGAAGACACAGCGCTTCATCCCACTGGCTTGGAAGCTGTGGGTGGAATCATTCTTCTCTGAAGCACATTTATCAGTGAAGCCTTTGTGAACTGGAAATAACCAAACTCTTTTTGCTATTGACCAAAAAACATCTCTCCAGTCTGGCCCCCTCCCCGTCTCGAGACTCATGCACCTGCTCTCCCGGTCCCCCAGGACCCTCAGCCTGGTCTTGGTCCGTTTCTCCTGATGAGCCACTCCGGTCTTCCACTAACTGCTCCCTCTGCCAGGAAGGCATGGCCCCGCTCCTCCCCGGGCTGCCCCCTTTCTTTATTCCAGTCTCAGAGCCACGTCACTGATACGCAGAGAAGTTAACTAACTGGTCAACCATCAGTCATTCACATCGCTCTGGTTTCTATCTTTTTAAAATCTAGCATATGTTCTGGAATATATATTATATGCAAGTTCAAAAAGTTTTATGGGGAAAATAAAGAAACAACACTTTTTCTGCTCCTTTACCCAGCCATTCCAGATACCCCGGAAGTAACAGCCCTTGCTGGCTCCTGCAGGGTTTCCCGCCTAGTCTATGCCATAAGGACACACATATTCTCTTCTCTGATTTTCCCATAATCAAGGGAAACAGACTCTCTCACAATTTGCTATTTTACTAGATGTCAGAGCATCCTAGACGACACCTCATCGTTCTGTCTGTTCCACTGAATTCTTTTAAATAGCTACAAACTGCTCTCCTACACAGACACTCTATTCTCTGTTCATAGGCATTTGGTACTTCCACTTTTTGACCACTCTAATGATGCAGCGAGCCTTCTTGTAAACATCTCAGTTGATTTTCTTACATGCTAACACATTTCTGGGATAAATTACCTAGGAGTCAAACTGCTGTATCAAAGTGAATGCGATTTTAAGTTTCGATTCCTGCTGCCCATTTGCCCTCCACAGAGCTCGCCCCATGCAAACTGACTCCAGCTCACTTTAATTCTCTGCAGAGCAATTACCACTTTTCAGGACTGTTTGCTGGTTGCTTATCTCCCCCCAGGGTGGAAACCGTTCACTGCTGCTGGACTCCCATGGCGTAGATTATTGTCTGATGAGCTTTCAATGAATGAATTTGGAGTAAATGAATAAATAACTCAAAATGGGCACAGGGAAAGAGGCTTGGCATCTAAATCACTTCAGGTTCTCATCCTGGGTCTGTCCCAACTGTGTGGCCTGGGGCAAGCTACTCAATCACTCTGAGTCCTATTTCCTTACCCAGTAAACAGAGATAATAATAATCCCCAGTTTGAAGACTGACTGTCCCAACCAAACAAGACCATCCCTGCCTCAAGGACTTTATAACCAGAGACAGACCCAGAGCCCCGAGAGTTACCAAGAGCTGGCTAGTGGGAAACTGTCACCAGCTAAAAGTAAACCCTAAACCAACATGGCCCTTGACCTCCGTGGTGGCACTCGTTGAACCACAGACTTCCCATTAAAACCGTGCACACCCCAGGGTGGTTGGTCCTCAGGGCTTCTGCTTGCTGGTGCTGATTGATGAGGAGGCCCACTTGCCAGGAAGTACTCCCAGGATGAAGGACCAGCCACTCCGCCTTGCAGTCTGCCAATGACCAGCGCTAATTTTCGAGCGCATATGAAAAGACGTCTGACAGTTGGGTTGAAGTGGGGCAGGAGTGGAAGGGTGTGCAAGGGTCAGGGGAGACAGCTTGTCTCTCTCTCTCTCTTGGGCACACGGTTCTTTCCCAAAGTAGAGAGCAGCCCCAGAGGGTTCACAAATGAAGATTTAACAGCTCCTGTGGGAACCAGCCAGCACCAGCTGTAATTAGGACTCGCAGGCCTTCCCATGAACTGCATGCTGAGAATGGGAGTGTCTTATTGGGGAGAAGAGCTGGCTGGTCTCCAGAAACCGGGAGGCATGAGACGGCCCTGTGGTCTCTGTTTTAGATGGTGACTGACCACTGAAGAGCTGCCCAAATTGAGATGCGCTGGCCTGACAGAACCATCGCAGGCACGGCCCGCAGCCTGCTCGCCCGCCGGGAGCTGGCGATTGACAGAGAACTCATTACGGAGGACAGCGCCTAGGAGCAAGCCGGGAGTCTGCACCGCCACAGCCCAGAGGGTCCTGGGAGCAGACGCCCTGGGGGGCGTGGGGGGCGTTACAGAAGAACAGAGGAAAGCGGGGGTTTAGGAAATGTTTGTGCCGAAAGCCCACACAAGGGTGATCTAATTGGGGTATTGATGATCACCTTCCTGATCAAATCGGCTTCTGTTTCACATTTTCCAGGCGTCGGGGAGCATTCTGAGAGTGTTCTCCTGACCAGGCCCCCGCTGCGTTACAGAGGGGGAGGCCAAGGAGGAGGTCTTAGGAGACTGCCAAGGTTGCTTAGCCAGGAGCTCCAGGCCTTCCCTGGCCCGGGGCACTCTGACTCTGGAGCACACGCCGTGGCACTACAGGGTTCCACTTGGGAAAGTCTGTAAAGTGGCAAATATTTACTCTCTGGCACCTGGCAGAGAGTTTGCCCACATCTGTTCCTGCACAGGAGTTGGGGGAAGTGGAGGAGAGAGCAGGAGGAGGAGGAGGAGGAGTGGGAGAGGTCTCCTTCCTCCTCCTTTCTCCCTTTCACTAAGTCAAAGTTCCTGCTTTACTCTGATTGGACCAACCTGAGCCAATCATTGTGGTCAGTGGTGAGACCACCCGTTGGCTGATACTGAACCAATCACTGCCCACCTTTCACTACTGAGAAGCACTCATTAGAAGGAGGTGGAGCCCTGGGGAGGGGGAGGCAGGAGGACAGGAGGGCCTGCAGGACAGGTGGGGGGAGCCCAAGTCCTCTCCCCCTTCACTCCAGGGCAGGGGCCATCACCCACCAACTGCAGACCAGGTTCTACTCCTGCCTGGTTTTTAAATAAAGTTGTGTTGGAACACGGCCATGCCCCTTTGTTGAGTATGGTGGTCTATTGCTCTTTGGGCACTACAGGGTTCCACTAGAGAAAGTCTGTAAAGTGGCAAATATTTACTATCTGGAGCCTGACAGAGACTTTGCCCACATCCTCACTCCAGAGAACCCCGAATGCTGCTGCTCGGGTCTTGCAAATCTCTCCAGCCCCTTTTCACAGGCATCTCTGCTGTCCAACTTCCTGACTCTGAGCTGGCCAGGGACCTTCTGGTAAATCAACATTTTAGGCTTAGCTAAGAAAACTGAGTCTGTTTATATTGCAAACCATCCAACAAACTTCAGATACGCAGCTCCAGCCCACACACCTTTGAACACACACACACTCTTAGGTGTGTCTCACACCGTCCTCCTGGGGAGGCCCCCACAGTTACCCAGCATGAGACTGGGACAGAAAACAAGCCCCTTTCAGACCCAACCTTGAAGCCCTAGTTCCCAAGGGAAGAATGTGTGCAAACAGCTTCCTGCCAACGCCTGTGGGGCCAAATACCTCTAAACACCACTAACCCGGGACAAATTGGTGTTCCCAGCAACCCCCCCCCCGTGATATCACACCCCCTGGCACCAGCCTGTGCCCAGCCATGAGAGACGACTCCTGACTCCCCACATCACCTCTCCCTGGGGGTCTTGTTGCCTTACAGCCTCAGGTTAACATCATGGTTCTCAGGAGGCCCCAGAGCTCACAGGGAAGTGTGGGCCACCAGGCCGCAGAGCCACACCCGTGGGCCTGGCCATCCAGGGGAGATGGGAGTTAGTAGACACCCCAACGCCAGAGTATTAGTGCAGTGTGGGGGGCATTCAGGCTCCTCGGGCAGAGCACATGGGTACCCAGAAGTCCCCGAGCTGGGTGCAGAGCGGGACAGCTGGATACCAGCTACAGTGGCCTCTTCATCAGTGATTTTCATAGATGACTCAGGCTTTGGGTGCGACCCAGGCTGAGTGGGGAGGCACTGCAGAGGGTGGGGGGCAGGACAGGAAGATGGGCTACAGGACGTCCAGGCTGGGAACACACAGGGCACTAGAAGGGCACACTCAGGTTGTGATCATCACTGGCGGACAATGCTGTGTGGTTCACACGTGTGCGATGGTGTTTTGAGAGCTTTGCATATATCCGTTGGTGGGATCCCAAAGGTGATTATCTTATCTATTATCTTTCTCAAGGTCATGCACCAAAATGGCAGAAATGGGAGTCAACAAGTGACCTTCTGTATGGAAGGCAGTGCTGGGTGTCTTCACATCCACTGTCTCATGTAATTCCCACAGAAAACTTTAGAGGAGATGTGTGGTGCCTCACTGCAGAAAGAGAAAAATAACTCAGAGAGGTTATGTAACTACCCTATAGTCACACAGCTAATGTGATGCCAGGTGAACATATTTAGGTTTCTAGCCCTGGCTTTGAGACATGGCTCCTCCATCTAAAATGCTAACAGTTGGAAAAACCATGAAAGATGACTGAAAGAACAAGGCTGGAGGAGAGTTAGTCTTAGAATTTCAGAAACTTAGAGTTAAAATAGAATACAGAGTTCACCTCTCCTCAACCTTGGTGTGCTTGTGGACAGCTGCTGCACAGCTGGCCTTGGGGAGATCTTCATGCACAGGACTGAGGACCCCAACCTCAGAGTAGCCTCCCCTAGCTGGGCACGGGTCCTGGGCAGCTCACGTTGCTGACCCTGACTCACCTGTAGCTGTTCCTTCTCAAGGGCGTCTTTAGAAGGACAGAGAGAGATCATGTGTCTCCAAAAGTTCTTTCAAATGAACTCCAGATAAAGACCACAGCCTAGGAGCCCTGGGTGCCAGGGGACAGGGTGCCAGACCCCTCCTTACAGCCTCACAGTTGGTTGGCGAAGGCTGATGTCAAGAACCAGCGCTCTGGCAGGGGCTTTGTGGCCCGAGAACTTGGAAAGCCACTGTTAAAAGGCCGAGTGGGTGAGCCGAGTCCCCAGGCGGAACAGAGGGTTCTCAGTACATGTCACAGAGGTGCAGAATGGTGTGACCAGCAGTCCTGTGGTTCTAGGGGACTTTTTTAGGAGTCCAGACGTGTTTGGAAACAGGTTTTTTGTTTTCCTCTTGTTGTGTTGTGGTACCGGGTGTCGAACTCCTGGCTTCGTGGACAGCAGGCAAGTGCTCTACTACTGAGCGACAGCCCCTGACCACTCCTACCCGACCTCTGCAGCCTGGGTGGCAGGCGACCAGGAACAGGGTGGTGGGCAAGGGGGGTGTGGCTCCTTGTCTCAGGAGGCTTCTGATCCGGGGAATTGGAGGGCTGTTTCCACCTGTCCAGCCATTGAACACACACTGACTTCAACTCCTCTCTGAGTGGTCATGGGAGGCACACGGGGAGGCTTTGGTCCCTCTTCACTGAAGTGCACAGAGACGCAGAGGCCCGCAGACAAGCTTAACAGAGGGCTTAGGAACGCACAAGTGCAGGATGCCATGGGAACCCACAGAGGGACCTGGGAGGAGCGGGGGCTGCTGGGAATCAACACCACAGGTGAGAGGTGCTGTCAAAGGCGCGGAGCCTCCGCCATCCGCCGCCCCAGGGCCCGCCCACCAGGCATCCAACAAATACTGACCCACTCCCCCATCTGCTCCCTTGCTAGGCCTGCTGGACGCCTAAGAGCTCTCCCTCAGCCAGCTCAGCTCCCGCCCCCTGGCCGCTGCCTGGTGGTCTCACTATTGCGTCCTGTCCCTGCCCCTCACCCAGCCCCCAAGCTGCCACAGCGCTGTCAGGAAGGCGGATTTGAAGGTGTCCCTCCCCTCCCAAGCCCTTCAGTGGCTCCCAAGGGCCCCTGACGGAGCTGACCACAGGGCCCCACAGTGCCAGCCTCAGAGGGGCCTCACCTCACACTCCCCCGCCACACGCCTGCCTGGCCCCTACCTGTGCCCTGACCCTCTCTCCAGCTGCCAGACCGGCTCTGCCCTCTGCTTGCAGCATATGCCCATCCCATTGCCCTGCTGGTGCCCAGGAAGTGTCTGCAGACAACCCCTCCCCAAAATCTCTTGGGGCCCCTCTTTGGGCATCCGCAGCTCCCTGGGATCTCTGATTCAAGCATTTCCTGTGTTGTAAGAGCCTTCCTGCCCCCCCAGAGGGTGGGTACAACCCCAGAGGGGGGTCTCTGCTCCCATCCACCCCCTACTCCTGGAACATGGGAGAATTCTATCCTAGATAATCTCCCCTACATTTTTACTTTTTAGAACTTCATTCCTATATTTCGAATCGTAGGAGAGCAGACATCACCTACAGCTAACTTAGCACTTTTACTATGTCCAAGTGCCCAGTTCAGATGTACCAAGGACATTCCCAATGTCACAAAATTGTCACCGCCAGACTTCCTGGGAACTTCTCATCCTGCCTGAAACCTGTGCCCATGTTGACAATAACTCCTACGCGCCCAGCCCGGGCCACCGTCCTTCCGCCCTGCACATTTAAATTGAATAACACACCTGGGCTTAGAAGAACTTGGACTTGCTCTCCAACCCCGCTTCCTATCTGGGCAGCTGGGTAAACTCTGTGTCTTGACATTTTGTCTATTTATTTATCTTAGTACTTTGGAATTGGTAAAGAAGATTGGCACATGCTTCATCACTTGACACTCAGAAGACTTGAGAGAGACACGTGGGGGTTACAATGTCCCTTATGCAAAACCCTTGGGACTGGAACTATTTTCAGAGTTGGGGATATCTGCTTATACATAATGAGATCTCCTAGAGATGGAATCTGAGTCCAAACAAAAATCCATTTGTTTATATGCACTTCATAGGCATGGCCTGAAGGTAGTGTTACGCAATGTCTTTAGTGCACCTGAGCCTTCACCGTGACCGTCACTGGAGGTCAGGTGTGGAATTTTCCACTTGTCTTATGTCAGCACTCCAAAAGTTTCAGGTTTTAGAGCATTTTGGGTTCTGGATTTTAGGATTGGGGTGCTCAACCTACATTACCCCCCCTCACAAAATAAAGAGCCTGACCCCAGGTCCTGTAAACAGAGTTCTGTCTGTGCTCAGCCAAGTTCGTCCAGACGGTGGCCGGAGACGGCCTGTGTCCAGTGCACTGGGGGAAGCCTTCCTCTGAAGCCCGAGGACACATGCCCCACGGCGGATGGACGGTTGTGACCATAACAGACGTGAGTTCCCAGCTTATGACTCACGGGGCCTGGGGGAATGAAGATAAACAGAGAAAGGTAAGCGTGGCTCAAGGCCCAGAGCAGAAGTGGCACCTATTCCGCACCGTGTCCCAGGCCTGCTCCTCGGCTCGTCAGGAGCATTCGCTCCAATGCCGACTCCGTACATGGTGAAGGCGAGGGGCTGGGAGGCGAAGAAGGGAGGGAGGGAGGGTCTTCCTGAGATCCAGCAGCCCCAGGTGGGAAGGAGAGATCTAAAGCCAGGTCACCTGCTCTGAGCCCACCTCAGCTGCTGACCTACCCACAGCAGGCGCTGGGCTGAGAAAGGAAGGGCTTGGACAGGGGGCAGGGCACCATGCCTCTGCTTGGCCAAGTGACATGAGCACAGCAATAGGAGATTCCCCCTGGACAATGTAGGGACTCCTCACAGAGGCAACCTTCGTGGCCTGAGCTCTCGGTCCATTCATATTCTCCTATGGATCCTCAGGGACTAAGGACTCTCCTTGATCACAATCAAGTCCTAAGCAATCCTTTTACACTGAGAGGAAGAGAAAGCCCAGATTCCATCACTGAGGTGTGTGGCTGTAGGAGTTAGAAAGTCACATTTATTCAATCAACAAACAGTATCTACCATGTTCTAGGGATTGCGCAGATTGCGAAGGTAAAACCACGAGAAAAGGAAGACCACACAGAATAAGCAATCTAGCTTTCAACACTATCCCATAAAAATACTGCAACTCACACACATAATTTTTAATTTTCTAGGAGCCACATTGGAAAAGTAAAAGGAAACAAGTGAAAGTCACTTTAATACTAACTTATACTCAACATGTTGGACATACTCTCGGGTCAACGGGTCTTGCCTGGCAAATCCATCCGTGAGGCATTCGGTGTCCTCTTCTTTTCCCTCGCTGGGTCTTTCAATCCCCGTGTGCTCGACTCCCCTGGCACAGCTCAATTTGGACTAGAAATATTTCAGACTCTCGGTGCACCTGTGGCTGCTGCTTACTGCGTTGGATCCTGTAAGTCTAATTAGACGGACAGGACAGAACCAAGCAATGTTGTTGGCTGTGGCGTCTCAGGAGAGGAGGAACTCAGCCCAGTGGGGTCAGTAGGGTGGCACTAGCTGGGGATGCTCTGGGTTTGCCATCCTCCCAGACGTTCCTCCAACAAACTGGGTGACTGCGAAAACTAATCTGCTCTCTAAGTCTCAGTGTTCTTATCTGTGAAATAAATGGGACTTGCAAGATGAGCTGCCAGTAGAAATAAATAGGTATCCAGGAATGCATCCATTTAAGATCTAAAGATGTCGTAGAGGAACGCGTGTGCGCTTGTGTACTGGTGTGTGTGCGCCGTGAGCCCGGGTGTAGATGGCAGAGATAAAGCAGTTAGTGGAAATTGGAAGGCTGCTTTCGGGTAGGAAGACGCAACTTGGAGTCTCACTTCATAATCAGCATCAAATACCCTCCAGGTAGATTTTGAAAAGTCAATATGAGAAATTAAAAATAAAAATCTATACGACACTGGATGGTCCTCCTGCAAATTCTGTATAAATGGGAGAACTTTCTAAATCATAAAGTTTTGAAGGAATCTCATATGAAAAGATCAATAGATACGACTGTGCAAAAGGTGTTCAACTCTTTTGTGAAAATAAACGCTTAACTATTAAAAAAAAAAAAAAAAACAATGTGAAAGTGTGGGGTGGGGGTGGGTGGTAAAAACTACAGTCTTCATTTGTGTGGTTCTCGGTGCTGTCCCTCTGTAAGTTGGTAAGAATATACCTGAGACCACAAGGTACAAATGAACCACTAGCAGAAATGAATTATTTCTAAAAATGTTCACTTGCCCCAAATTAACTAAAGAAGTACCAATTTACTCCCATTAAATCAATATTTAAGACTAAGAACTTGCTCTGCTCTTGCGGGCCCCCCAGGGGTGGTAAGATCCAGGAGGAACGTGGACACAGGGGAATCGTTTTCTTCATGAAGTCGCCTCGTTAGCGCTCAGACTGGGCCGACCTCTGACAGATGGATCCTGGCACGTGTGTCGTCTGGGCCATGTCGTCCGCCCAGGCTCTTCAGCTGCAGCGGTGACGGCTGAGACGCCTTTCATCTTTCCTCTGTCCCTTGGTTCTGCTGGCAGAACCTCCGAGGAATCTCGGGCGGCCTCCGAGGAAGAGCCCTGTCGGGATGGACACCTCAGGAGGGCGGGGACATCTCCAGGGACTCCTCCAAACGCTCAGCTTTCTCTACTGACGGAAGACCTTGCCGTGCGCTTTCCAGGGCCCCAGCGAGCACGTGTGGGAACCCGGCCCCAGGGCAGCCGAGATGGGAGCTGGGGCCCAGGACAGGCCAGGCTGCAAGGGTGCAGTGGGACACTGGGGGAGTCGGCTCACTGGGGGGGTGTGGTTTGTTATAAAAGGCGGTTCTCTCGCCCCTTTTCACCCATTTGCTTTGTCTCTTCCTTCCATCATTCGATGGCACAGCAAGAGGGGCCTGGACAGACGCCGGCCCTTGATTTGGACTTCCAGCCTCCAGACCCGTCAGTCAGTGAGTCTCTGCCCATCCTGAGAGACCCAGGCTGTGGTGCTCTGCTGCAGCTGCCCAGAATGAACCCAGACACCCGAGGCCCTCAAACGCTTATGAGAATTTATTAATTCACTCCCCAACCGTGGTGGGCGGGGAGGGGGCCTGGTGAAGGAGTGGGAGCAGAGGCCCCTCAGCCTCCGTTCCGGGGGAGCAGGGAGCCCCTCTGAGGCGGCATCCCCGTCCCTTTCCTGGGCACTTTCTTGGCCTCTCAGAATC